TTCTCTTTTCTTTCTTTCTTTCTTTCTTTCTTTCTTTCTTCTTTCTTTCTTTCTTTCTTTCTTTCTTTCTTTCTTTCTTTCTTTCTTTCTGTTCTTTCTTTCTTTCTTCTTTCTTTCTTTTCTTTTTCTTTCTTTCTTTCTTTCTTTCTTTTTTTTTCTTTTTCTCCTTCTTGTCACCCTCCATCTCTTCGTGTTCAGCTGACTTCTTCCGTCAGTCATCATTTTTTTCTCTCTCTTCATATTGGTGTATTCGTTAATTGTTATTATAATTTTTTTTTCACAAATAAAAAGAGTGCTTTACAAACCAGTCCATTACTCTATGAATATCTAATAAACATTAATGATCTATAAATAAACAGAGGGGGGAACCATTTGAGGCCGTTAAATATTATGAATTAATCAAGTAACAGAAAGTATTGTGAACGGCACTCGTAGAAAGAAGTAGAAAGATAGAAGAACACACTAGACAACATAAAAATCGAAGGCGGCACGGTAACTATAGCTTTCGATTTTTATGTTGTCTAGTGTGTTCTTCTATCTTTCTACTTCTTTCTACGAGTGCCGTTCACAATACTTTCTGTTACTTGATTAATTCATTAATGATCTAATTCGTGAATATGTTTAATGTATTGTTACAGTCAGCCAATTTTCTGAGAAAGGCAAGAAGGACATAAAACCAGACTACGACTGGCACTATTATAATTGGAACTCTCCGCTGGCTGCTGAGGATGGGGACGGAGCTCGTATAGAAATGCCCAAAGTGCTGTGATGTCAGTTCTTGACTCAACTCAACTCAACTCCATATGCTGTCTAGGCTGAGTTAAATAATATTTCTAGATATATACCAGCACTATCATCATCCTGAAACAATAAGTTTCGTTGGGTCACCAGTTTCTGTTGACTCTCTGATCAGCTCTCTCCATATTTGGCGGTCAGTTGCCATGGACTTCATGGTTGCATTCCTGCATGATTGCATGCCTGATTCTGTCCAGTCACTCAGGTTCTGTAACCAGGTCTTTTTTTGGTCTGCCTCTTCTCTTCCTTACCTTTTCTGAGTCTTGCAGTATTGTTTTCGAGAGGCCGTTAGATATTATTACATGTCTATACCAATTAATTTTTCGCATTTTAATTGAAATTAAAAGATGTTCATAATTGTCAGTGTACTATGACGTCTAAAATTTGAAGGGGAAAAATGTTGTAGTTTCTTTACATAGTCCAAGCATTTCGTTTTTTTTCCCCTTCTTCTTCACGCTCACCGGCTTAAAATTCCGATGGAAAGCGCACTTCTATTTCACAGGTCTGACACATTTATATGCAGACTGTTGGTTCCTTGCCTCTCAGGCAGATGTATTCCGATTTCGAAGGAAGCTTCTAATTAGACGAATCTTACGACATGTTTTTAGACATGCAGAGGGTCCATTCTAAACTCCACCCCCCCCCCCCTTTTACAATGTGGCCCCGGAACCAACACGGGGAATTTAATTTGCAGTATTATTTCCCACGATCGCTCCTTTGTTTAAAAATATCTTTGTAAAAGCAGCAGGTTGACTGGTGGTTACAGGGCCGTGTGGTAGATTTTCCCAGTATGATGCAAGTCTTCCAAATGCCCACCCTTACATGCTTAAACTGTATTTTGATTTCGCTGCTCATGCAACCCCTTTCGGTGCCTCCTGATGCAGTTGGCTCTCTGTATGATAGCACGGCACAGTCCGGGTTGGTTAGTCAGTAGACAGGTTGATTTGCTAGCAGGTTGATACTTTTCTGGAAGAATTGGTTTTTGACTTTGAATTTGGTCTAATATGTTCCTTCTCAGACGCTCAATTTTCATCCTTTCTGAAACCATTTCTTCCTTCATTTTATTCCCTTCTGACGGGCCCCTCCACACAACACAAACCATGGTATTTTGTTCCCATGAGTCCACCTTAATACCTGTATCATTCATGCCCCACTTGCACAAATGTTTATATCGTAGTGGAGGTGAGCCTTGACATCTTCTTTCGATCTTTAATTCACCATGTAGGATATCCTTAGGGAATCTGCCATCCTCCATTCTCCACGTGTGACCCAGGCCAGATACTACTACACAAAGAATGGGCGCTTCAGCACTCCATTGATGACGAGGCCAACAACACGTCGGTCACTTCTCAGTCCATTCCCTGATACCCAGTTAGGTTTGGTCGAGCTAGATTAATAATAAATAACAGCTTTGATGCAGATTGTTGTCAAGACCTATTGTCCGCAAGACAATCGTTCAGCCAGTGCTCTGTCGCGGTTTCCTGCAACATAAATGTCACAATAAAACATTTAGCTGCCTTATTCTTTCACACATCAAAGCTTTGGAATATCGTCAGAATTAGCCATGGTGGTATCATGGGTGGTAGTCGTAGCATGCATGTTAGTAATAGTAGTAGTAACAGCAGCCGTAGTAGTTGTTATGACTGCTGTAGCTGCAGTAGTAGTCATAGCAGTAGTTGTACTAGTAGCAGCAGTACTTGTAGTAGTAGTAGTAGTTAGTGTTGTAGTAGTAGCAGTAGTAGTAGCAGCAGCGGTAATAGTATTAGAAGAAGTAGTGTTACTGATTTTGGTTAAAGTTGTAGCATGTTTATTAGTTATAGTTGTAGCAGCAGGAGCAATAGTAGAAGCAGTAGTTGTAGTCGTAGCACCATCAGCAGCTGTAGAAGCAGCAGTAGTAGTAGGAGTCTAGCAGTGTTAGTGGCAGTGGTAATGATTCTAGTAGTAGCATGTATTTTAGTAGCAGTAGCAGTAGCCACGGCAGTAGTAGTAGTAGTAGTAGTAGTAGTGGTAGTAGTAGTAGTAGTAGTAGTAGTAGCAGCAGCAGCAGCAGTAGTGGTAGTGGCAGTAGTAGTGGTGGTGGTAGTGGTGGTGGTGGTAGTAGTAGTAGTGGTATTAGTAGTAGTAGTAGCAGTAGCAGTATCTAAGACACTGAAATACTTTACTTGCATCACTGTTACATTAAACGTGCCATTTCCCATTTTCTTCGAGTCTACTTCGATTCTTTTGTCAGACAGTTTTATTCCAATAAGGCTGGATACCTTTAAGAGAGTTATTGTGCAGACCATTCCTCCCCCTGTGCTAACAAGTAATAAATACTTTATTGAAAGAATCGCAAAAACAGTTCTAAAATTAGATTAGATTGATGCATACAATATAAGCAAGGGGTCTAGAATCTAGGGTCAACCATGCCCCCTGCCCCTTCCCCAGACTGTGAGGCCCCTGGGAAGCTCCCATCCCCTCCACATCCGCGTAGATTATATTTGCACAGAGATAAAGTAAATTTTACTCCACGAGGACATCAAACAGAGCGATAAACACGCCGGTGACACAAAATGCCACCACGCGGATGAGGGTCACAGCGGTCAACCGTGAGGCTATATTGCGGCCCCTAGGAACAACAAGGATGGGGCTTCAAAATAACGAAAAATTGCAACCCACAAGGGGCATGAGACTGCTGAAGGATATTAAGTGGCTTCCAAGATTATTTCATTCTGTATATAAGTTTTTATTTTTAGTATTGTCTGAAGGCATTTCATGATATTTCAGACATATTGCTATATTTATTAGTCTTTCAGTACATTAAACAAGGTAAACTAAAAAAAATGTGTAAGGGTTATTAAATATTCAAAAACGTTTACTTAGACTAGTCAAATTTACGATCAAATCGCATTATGAATGTCTCTCTCTCTCTCTCCCTCTCTCTCTCTCTCTCTCTCTCTCTCTCTCTCTCTCTCTCTCTCTCTCTCTCTCTCTCTCTCTTTAATTGACAAGTACTTCTGTTTTTCTGCTGTTTAAACACATATGTGTCCTAACTTTTAGTTACAATTGTAGTCAAGAAAAGCCAACATCAGAAAGAGACTATCTATATTCTTTGATAAGAAGGAGAAAGTTGGAGTGAAAAAGAGGCAGAGGGAGACCGAGAAAACAGATGCTGGACAGCTTGACGTCATAGCATGGACGATCGTCAGTGTTGATTGAAAGTACACGAGACAGAAGTTTGGGGATAGACATAACTACCAACGTAACACGGCATGGACTTTAAGAAAAAGAAGTAGTAATCATGAAAACCGCTGTACATATTTTCAGTTCCTTTAATTGCAGTGTCCGACTCTGCAAATTAAATGTATGAAAGTAAAAGTAGTAATTTAAAAAAAAAAAGTTATTGCCTTGTACAAAGCTCAGAGTAATAAAGTGAAGGATCCTCTTTCACGCTATCAGGCGTATTGGGCATATAGGGCTAGACCCCTATTTTATAGATCAATCCGCACTTGGTGGGTGATGTGGTCAACATGACACCGACCGCGTTTAATTCCCAGGACTGAATCTGGTACCCACTCAAGGCTGGGTCGACCTGGGAGCCGAAATAATTTCTGGAAAAAAAACACAGGACCCGAACCCACGACGTCCCGAGCCGCAGGCGAGCGTCTAACCGATATGCCATTGCGACTTCGGAGTGTAACAATTGGGGCTATCAGATATTCATAAAGGTGTAAAACGGAACCGTGGATAAACAGAATGGTGGCTAAAAATAATTCTTCCATTACCCTAAAACCTCAGGTCCCTCTGTCAACCCGCCCCCCCTCCCCCCCCCCCCCCCCCCCCCCCTTTTTTTTAGTGACTTGCTATTTTCGCAACACTATTACTATCATTCGATTGGCTAGAAGCAGAACACACATATTTAAATGTCATATCTGCAAGCATATTACCCATGCAGGTTACCATCGAAAACATTTTGATCAGAGTTGTCCTCGCGTTAGCCTGCGACTTTTTTGTCCGTTGTGGATACTTTAAAGTTACTTAGGATCCATAAGTACCATAATTTCAGTCCACATCAAAGTCGAGTAAAGCGAACTTTTACATCTTTACACATATTTTTCTATGCTTAATGACAACCAGTGATTAGATCTAGCACAGTGAAATCACCTGCTTTCAAAACTGTATAAACAATTTCCACAAGTTTAGAACTCTCAAGGGAAGTGAACGCGATGGCTTCAGACCGTCCTGATCTACCTGAAGGATTCTTGGGTGCTCAGCCAAGATTTAGTGAACTGAAACTACGAACGGATGCACATGATGATGCAGAGATTCATATCTCTGGCGACAACAATGTTATCATTAAACTCATTGCTGAGGAGTCTGTCAAGGTAAGCTACATCTCAGCCGTATAATCCACGCCGTGAGGTGTTGGTGGTCATCTCTATCCATAGACTTCTATCTTGTGTACTTTTAGTCATTTTTGATACAGATGTGAAAATGATATTTTACAGAGTAGACTGCCTACCCTGGGTGTACCAGTTGGAGCTGCGAGACAGGAAAACAATGTGGGAGCCACTCGTCGTTTCATCAGCCAGAATAGAAAGGGACTTGTTAGCCTAAAAAAAAAAAAAAAGCTTGGAGGCAAACTCAGGAAGAGATCGGAACACTTATGATCATGTCCGATGCGCGATAAAGATGATCTTTAAATAAACAATGGACAGTGAACAACGATGTCAAACTGTCCAGAGAATGCACACCGTCTTCTTCTGAAGTGGATAATCAGATCTCTTCTCGAGTTAATCGCATTCAAGTTAATCGCATTCTTCATACTGTCTGGGGAGCTTTCTTACACAGACGACCATCCATACTATGATGTCAATCTGTCCTTCACCTTCCTTCTCTGTCTTTCGTTGTTGTTAATGGGTTCCCCCCCCCCCCCTCTCTCTCTCTCTTCTAAGTTTCCTTCAGTCATGATTTACTTCTTCTACGTCTCATGATGTGACTAAAGAATGTAGACTTCTTCTGTTGTTGGTAACCATTTCTCTTCATGGGTTAATTTCTCTCACGATAGAACGGGGCGGGGAAAATAGTTCTTTACAGTTGTACATTGCCAATCTTGATATACGGAACTGATTTATCGAAACTACATCTTTAGATAGTATTATTTATGAGAAGTCCGAGGCCTGGGAGTCGCCCCCGTGATACACATTTTAGGTTAAAGATAATTTCTTTTATTTTGACTAATTCTACTCGACCCGGATTTTATTCGGGTGGGCAGAGGACCGTCTACCCACTATGCTGTTTCAGCTTCTTCTTAGAATATAACGAGTTTAAAGTATCTTTTACCTCTACTGAATGAACTGATGGGCGAGAACGTCAAGGCGTGTGACTGAAAAGTTGAAACCAAATCGTTTTAGTAGAGCTCAATTACAAGTCAGCCAAAGAAACAGAACAAGTACCTAGGAGCAAAAGAACAAAGGTAACAATAGAAATATTCCTCTGACGTCAATCAGCAGAACAATAGAGTTATTATAGTAACCAAATAAACATTTTAACCTAAAGTAATTCTGATGTTGGAGTTTGTTGTTGTTGTTTTTCCCTATTAAAAGTTGGGTTCGAGTCATCACTGGCATGGATTATTGGTTAAATTACTACCTAAACGGGTACAGGGAAATGTACTGTGAAGTGAAAGTGGCCAGTGTGACGTTGACGACATCCCCCTTAAAGTTTAGATTGGTCAACAAAATACGTATTTAGTGCTACAAACTCGATGAGCCAATGATTCGGAAAGCGTCCTTTTGTTTAGTATTAGTTCATGCTTTGTATGTGATTGTTTCAAAAAAGAAGACTTAACATGTATAATTTGACTCCCCTCCCTCCCCTTTTGCACACTGTTATATTTTATCTAATCTCTATTGGCAACAGGTGGTGACCAAACTCTTTCAGGTGGTTTCAGACAAGGAACTTCCAGACTTTACTTTCATACAAAGAAAAGACAAGCACAACGTTGAGTTCCACGTCAGTTTTCCTGAAAATGGCTGGTACAAGTTCATGATATTTGCCTTGAAAGAGACTGATACCTCTGAATCATTGCCGAACGTTTATAACTACTTGATCTACGCTAGCGACCTCAAGGATCCAGCCCAAGGTTACGCGAAGACATTCACCAAGTTTTATGCGGATTGCTGCTACTTATATGAGCCTCTAACTCTCAACGCGAAATCCAAAGATCTGACCAAAGTTAAGTTTCAGCTTGATGTCCCTAATGCTAATAAAGTGGCCGTACATTGTGTTCAGGAGTGGTTTCATCTTGTCCAGAATGATGGTTACTGGGAAGGAACCGCCGACCTCTCCAAGTACCGGGGCAAGAATAGTAAGGTCAAAGTTATGGCTAACTATGCCAAGGATGGAAATACTTACAGCGCACTTTTGGAATATGCCATCTAAGGCAGTGTTCCTCAACCTTTTCACACCCGTGGCCCATCAAAACAGTGGAAGGGGTTTTGCGGTCTACCTGAGAGTTAACCAAAGACGAAACGAAAAGTTATAAATTTCTTTGTTAAATCTGACATCAGGAAATTACAATTCCAAGTGACATCTGATGCTTAAAGGTTAAGAAATGTGAAATGTGTGTCTGAAGCGTTGTTTATGATAAATGAAGCGCTACAATAACACCCACTAGATTTCTCCGTTTAGTTTTAATCTTTTTTAACAAGTAGAAAATCTTTAAGGCGATAATCCTACAGATATAAAAGCAACACCACATAAATTAAGTCATTACACGTTTTTAAGCAGAATTCTTTAAAATTTCTGGTTAAATCTTGTTACGTATTTTCACATTTGTTACATGCCTCATAATAATTATTGTGACATGGTTTTCACATTTGAAAATGTCTGGTTTCTTTAGCAAAATAATAAATATGGGTTGTTATAATGTAAAAGATGTCGAATACATGGGCTCTTTAGTGAACAACAGTGTCGACTGCTCACAGGAAGTCAGGAGAAGACTTGCATGGGCAATGCAGAGATTAAATAGCATGAAGAACCTATGGCAAAGCACTAGTAAATTGGTAAAAGTAAAAATCTTGAGATCATGCATTTTTCCTGTGGTAACCTACGATTGTGAGTCTTGGACTCTCACTCAGTCACTGAGGAAAAAAGACTTGAGCTTTTGAATTGAAATGCTATAGAAAAATTCTTAGACTACCATGGATCAGGAAATGGAAAAACATCGACATTCTGAAAAAATTTGAACATCAAGGAGAACTGGCTCATAAACTGCTTCCTGTCCCCAAAGTTAAAGTATTTTGGCCACATCAAGCGTCATTGGTGGGTTGGAAAAGACAGTGATGGAAGGTGCAGTTTTTGGAAGGCGGGGCAGGGGTTGACCACCGCGAAGATAGATACAAGACATTGAAAATGCATTGGCATTGAAAGCACAAGGGGCTAGAGAGCTGGCTACAGAAAGGGATACTTTCAGGCGTGCCGTGAAGAAAGTGACGTTCTGTAAAGGACTTGCTGATTGATGATAAGTCATTGGGAAGGTACCCACTAATACACAATTTAAAAACAAAATGTGTTATTATTTCGCTTGCAGAATAACAATTAAAAAAAAAACATTTCAAAACCTTCCGTTTCTTTCAGTATGTTATTGTCTGACCTAGGCATCTTTTCTCTTTTCTTGTAATTTAATACATCGCCAACCTCGTAATTCGCCACAATTCACAAGTTCCCACTGCTATCCTGCAAATTTACGTCGGGTCTACTATTCTCTCTCAGTTTCCCTATGTAATATGTCCATTTCTTAATTTTACTACTTTGCTCCATTAATATTTCACTATCCTTTGATTTTAATTAACCAGCGCTGCTACTCAGATAATATATTTATTTTTTTGCTAGATGGAATGTGCGTTTTTTCCGTGATTCACCTCAATCTCCATGAACAAGCGATTCGGCCAGGTTTGCCTAATTATTCAGCAAAGGATTCAGTGGCTCATCGGGAATTTGCTGCTAGACAAACAGAACAATCAGCCCTCCATTGGTGAATAACATAAAGACAAGACCTCCCCATCAATCCCTCATATGGACACTGGAAGGGAAAAGAAGACGGGGAAGATCAAGAGAGACTCTACGTAAAAGCATTATCAGGGAAGGCTCAACCATGGGCCTAACAAATATCCTAGACCTAAAGCAGGTGGCAACAAACTTTCAGACATGGAGAGCTCTTATCTCTGCCCTATGTGCACCTTACGCCCATGAGGAAAAACGAACTTAGTAACTAACAAACTATATTTCGCCCGCGTAATGCTGACCACATCACCCACCAAATGCCAATTGATCTACATAAATATTGTTCTAGCACTGTATTCTAAAACTGATTTAATTAATTGTGTATATGTGTGTGATTTTGTATGTGTTTGTGTGTTTTCTTTTTCTTTTTTTTTAAATTTAAGTACACAATAAGCATAACATGGAATGATAGGTAAAGACATTACATTCTAATGCCAAATCTGTACTTTTGTATGGAGCGGAAACATGGAAAACAACTAAGGCAATTACTAATAAACTACAGACATTCATTAACTGGTGTCTGCGCAGAATAGAGGGAACTGAATGGTAGGATAGAATCACTAAATGTAGAGCTTTGAGGGAGAACTAAGCTAGCTCCAGTGGACCAAGAGCTGAAGAAAAGACGCTGGCATTTGATAGGATTCACACTAAGAAAACCGAAGAACAATATCACTAGAATGTCTTTGCACTGAAACCCACAGGGGCATAGGAGTAAAGGAAGGCCAAATATATATAGAGAAGGGAGCTGGAGAATGAAGTTAGAAAGATGGGGAGTACATGGGGATAGCTGCATGTAAACGCAACAAATAGAACGATATGATGTGAGTTGGTTGAAGGCCTATGCTTCATTGGGGGCTAGAAAGGCAGAAAAAGATAGGATATAACGCCCCCCCCCCCCCCCCTAGGTTATAAAGTTGCCCGTCTTGCATTCGGCTTTTCCAAGTACTCATATAATAATATAACATAATATAAATATCAAGTAAAATACAAAAGCATAGGTGCTATAAGCATGCATCGCTTTCGTGGATTCAATGTTGAATGTTACATTGAATTTTGAATCAAGAATCGACACCATAACACTCATCTACAAACGCCCCGTCCCTATCTTCATTACCAAGCGAAGAGTTCCAATTCCGATGGCACCAGTAACTGTCTAATTGTATATCTTCCTCGCCCTTCCTCTGAGTGTTGAGCGCTGCCGGATCTCCTGGTAACTCCTCGCAGGGCCATTCTCCCCAGACCGTAATGATCTGTCTGTGCCTCCACACCTTCACTCGCTCCCAAAGGGCCCTCACAATATCTAATTTGTCATTCATAAGTTAACCATCAAGTGGTGCAGAGCTGGCCAGTCTACTGCCTTCGCATTTTCCACTAGACCAACATAACCTGGAGCAAATATCCAAAGAATGCTAACTAACCAGGAACTCTGAAGTGATGCTTGCCACTCTGCACGGAGCATGCCTATCTCCAACGTTCTCAACATGCTCTGTGAGTCAGTTACAATCACGGCATGTGTGTACAGCTGATTCTCAATCCAGCGGTAGGCAGCAGTGACTGCCTCCATCTCCATTATCCCACTAGATGTGATATGATATACAAGGCTTTGCTGCACTAAGCGACGTTCATTCGCTTTTGTTATGAAACTCCATGCACTTCTTCAGTCCTCAACACAGAGCCATATATATATATATATATATATTTGTGTGTGTGAGTTATGAGTTTTGATTTGGGTTATCTTCACGGCACTCGGGACACGTCCATAGGTGCTCAGATTCCCGTTTCAACTTATTTATCAGCTTCCCACGGTTAAAGGTCCAAGTCTTTTGTGTGCCCGGTATGCTTCTCGTGCCTGGTTGTGTCAATCTTTACTCCCAATTCTTGCACTCTTAGCAAAGATGTGGATGTGCTGCTCCCAAAATACTCCAAACGTCCTACATCTCTAATGGCGTTAACAATGTCGGCATGATCCATGGGCCGACCCTCTATAACTGAAGCAGAGCCATCTAATATGTCGGCTGTTTCATTGCCAACAACAGTTTTGGTGTTAGTGCTTCCATCGATGCACCTCAACGACCCTAGGAGGTCAAGGGTTATGTTGTATAATATTAGTAACTTTTGTATTTTACATAATTTTTATATTATGGTAAATCATTTTATGGACATCACATGCTTTAAGTTAAGATGTTTTCATGTGTAGCTCATGCGACGGTAGTTTTTCTGGCTGCGTTCTTGCTAGAAGACCAAACCATTCAACCCGATATGTAGTGAACTTGGAATTCTATTGATCTGCATTACTTTAATATAGCCAAACTTATCGTGGTATCAAAAACCAGTCCTAGTTACACACACACGCATACATATGCACGCGCACACACACAAACATATACAAACACACAAACAAGACATAATTGTAAGATCTCGTCCGGGATAGTGAAAGAAAGTCGTATTCTTCCGTCCTCTACCTCACTTTGGTGTCCATTGCTGCCCTTTATGCAGGCATAGTAGAAATAGAAGTCTAATTGAAACCTTATATTTAATATCCAGTCTTTACATCATCTTCGTCTCTACCGCTGAGTATCTCTAGTTATTGCCTCTTAGTACACTCGAGGAATCCCCAGTAATACTGACAACAATTTTAACAAGTTAGAAGACAGACAAATGTATTGTCTTAAGAAGAATATAATTTAAAAAAAAAATACTTTTTCAAAGGAGAGGTAATAGGACAAAATACTCAAACTGTTATAACTCCAGCAAAAGTTTACTTTTACTGATTGTGGCAGTAAAAAAAAAAATGCCTAATAACCTGGGTGGCCAATGTAACTAATGTGTTAAACGTCGAAGTCAAAATAGCAAAAAAAATTTGTAACATGTGTATTGGCAGCGGTTTGGGAGAAGTTAACACTTCATTTGTAATAAATATACAAAACAATAAAGGGTATATTTTAACTTATGAAAAAAAAAAAAATGGTGCCATCTTTATAATAGAGGTCATCGGTTTATTTGTTTTGTTCCCATAAAAAAAATGTGTTTCGTGAATAATAAGTCAATAAATAAACCACAAGTGATCACAATAGACACGATGTGTCTTATCACATTTGTTTTAAATTTTACTGCAGACGGGAATCATGCAGTTTTGCGGAAATGGATAATTGCACCGGATGTGAATGTGCGCACTTTTGGACTAATCCGAAACATCCGGCTTGATATTGCAATCCTTTCTTGTTTTCTATGGTTGCCGCGGTGAAATGTGTACATAAATTAGACACAGCAGATGAAGTGTTCGTGATGTGGAAACGGTCTCTTAGATTACATGTTTTTATTATTTATGTCTTTGCCGTTTTGATATCGTATTTCTATTTTTTATTCGAATGACTTAT